GCTGGGCTGTAGTTGCGGGTGCCGGTCCAGTGTATCCTCTGCACTGACTCCTGTATCAGCAGCCTACTGGGGCCAGTGGCAGCGGCAGCTGGAAGGAAGTGTTGACATTGCTTAGAAAGGCAGGACAGGCCAGGGGCTGTGCACTATTGGCACTGGTGTGTGGGCTTCAGGCTGTTACAGGGGGATAGGGAAGGAAGGAAGGGGTGCTGACCGGCCCTTGGCAGTTCCCCAGAACTCTTGATCCAGGGTATGTAAGAAGCATACCTACCTCCTAATAGATGGAGGAGGAATGGAACCTTCACTATCCTTCGCTTGTGTGTGTGTTTTTACAATTCCCATTTTGCAGTAGCACCTCAAGCATTTCTAGACCAGCTAGATCAGGCGTGTCCAGCCTGAGGATAAGCTCCACACCACTCATCTGGCCCATTGGGCCAGGCTGGATTGGGCCCAGGGATGCCCTTCCCCTCCCCCTGCCTCAGCATTGCTGATCCAGTGCTGCTTCAGCTGGTTTGGGACTCTTGCTGCATGTGGCATGGATCCCAGAGTAGCTGGAATGGGTGCTGTGTGGGGCACGGTATAGCCCATTCTGGCCTCTTCAGGATCCGTGTCATGCACATCTGGAGTCCCAGACCAGCTGGAGTAGCCACTGGATCAGATATGCTGTGGGGAACGGGAAGGGGTCTCTGGGCTTGATCTGACCTATAGACCAGCCCCATGCCACAGGCATGCTATGCGCAGTGTGGGTCTGATCAGACCCAAGGATAGCACTGGGGGCCAGATGGTATGGCTCTTAGCTGGATCTAGCAAAATCAACATCCCCATTCTCCAAAACCCCAAATAGCAGTCCATGTCATTCCACCCCTTCTCACTCCTGCCTTTGATTAAGGGGAGCATCTCCTCCAGCCAACCCAACCTCACTTCCCAACCCAGAGTCACTGCCGCCATAGGAATAAAGTAACAAATTCCACCCCCTAACCTATATTATGTCCAATCTACTCACAGTCCCCTACCTCACACAGAGGAATCCCCTCCCTCCATAACTGTCCCTCCCAAGCCCATACCTCCCTTTCTCATAGTGGGGCTGTAGCTGTCTCAAAACCCACTTAACCTCTCTCTTCCACTCCCCACCACCAAGAAAGCATGTTATTCAATTTTTAAAAATAACAACAAGCAATACAATACTCCCTTCCCATTCCTTATCTCCATCCCTGTCAAAGTGCAATGCCAGAGGGTGCCCTTGAGTGTTGTCCTTCCATAGTGCACTTTTCTGGGTAGCCTGCAATCCTTTTGAAGCCTTTAGAGCAACCGTTCTTCATCAGGACAGTGGGAATAAATCTACCACCCTGGGGCTTAGAGTGAACACTTGAGAGGCAGGAAGAATTAGCTTTGCAGTACCATCCACTTCCCCAGCTCCTTGGCTTGCAATCCTGTGAGAATCCCTTTGGGTACTGATCAGTCCAGACATTGATGCATTTGGTTAACCTGCAGGAATATTATTTGAGCAGTTTAGGCTTCCTTGCCATACAAGCAAAATGCCATGTTTGCTCATACTCTTCTAAATTAATGAAGCTTTTCATCACCTAGAGCCTGTGGTATCTTGTGCTTTCATAGCCAGCACTGCGGATGCCATAATATGGTCTTTTGCATTGTCTGGAAATGTGATTTGTGGCCTTGGCTGATCCAAGCTGAGGCTGCAGCATCTTGTCAATTGCATGTAGGACTTGCCTAATCACCTTAGAGGAGGTGGTAAACTACAGAATAGGTAGCCACTGCTAAAAGGACAATTTTTATGCATCATTACTTGTCCTTCCTTATGCAGGCCTTAATGCCAAGGAACACCTCTTTCTAGGCAGCAATATTTCAACTCCCTTCCTGCTTCAGCATTGCCCAAATCTTCTCAGCAAGAAGGTGTGAGGGACTTGTGAAAGCTCTAGCTTTCTCAAGGATGCTTGATTCCAGTTTGCTTTTGCTCTAAGACTTTACATAAAGCAATGAACAAAGCATTAGTGCAGAAGCTTGTCACCCATCCCTTTCTCTTTCTTCCTCTCTATGAAATCAGGTGCCGGCAGTTTGTGGAGATGGTGAATGGAACAGACAGTGAAGTGCGTTGTTTCAGTGCCCGTAGCCCCAAATCCCAGGACAGTTACCCAGGGTCCCCCAGCCTAAGCCCTAGACATGGATCGAACAACTCGCATGCTCATAGCACTGGTAAGTAGCATCCTTTCTGCATCTCCACATTGAATGGAGCTGGTACTGGGGATGGGTCACTTTGCTCATTACAAACTGCTTTTTATATTTTACTCTTTGGAAAACACCTGTCCTTCCTACTGCCAGCAGGGAGGACGTTCAGTTATTGGAGGGTACTCTTTATGACAGATATGGCCTATAATTAACTTCTCATCAGTTATCTTTAACAGATAATGTGTTGTACAACAGAGTTTTTCAGGATAATGTGCTAGAGAGAAGTTTAAAAAAACCCAGCTGTATAGTGCATGATGGAGATTGGTGGAAAGCTTCAGGGACAAAGCTGGCCTGGAAGTGGGACTCGGTAACTAGAGAGCCAGTGAAACAGTCATAGTTGCAGTCTCAAGCTTTGTGCTCCCAATGGAAAAGGCTTTTAACTGAGGCTCTAGTGCTCTCCACCTGGCAATCTTAGCTCCTTTGACTGCAAGGCTCCTGCTGCTCCATGTGAAAAAGCTGCAAGTGTTAGATGGAAGAAGCCAGAGCATTGTTAAATATTTCTTTGATTTTGGAAGACTGCTCCATAGCCCTGCTCCCTTCAACCACTTCTCCAGCCCTGAGTTCTCAGTGCACATATTTACATATCAAAACAGGATGTGTCTCTAAAAATATGCTCTAGGTCAACCACAAGATGTGAGCTTAGTGCAGAATGCTTCTCTAACTAGATGGTCAGCATCATTCCTTCTGGCAGTTGAACTGATGCATCCTTCCCTGTGGCAATGACTGTATTCAACTAGAAAATTTCTGCATCAAAAACTTAATAAAAAGGGAGGAAATAATTCACATGTACTGACTGATCTCTGACTTGGGGTCTGTGTCCAGTTCTCAGTGGACAGATGTCTAGATCTAATTTAGCACTGATTGGACTTCAAGAATAAGATACTAATTATGTTCTAACAGGGCTGAGTTTTGTCACTAAAACTGCAATTTCTATGGTGTTGATCATTTTTTATCTGTCTTGTTAGAGCTCCTCTGTTGTATTGATGTATATTGTGCTGGCTGCATTTTGTTTTTTCCTAGCAATGGTATCTTCCTACCTGATACATCATGGGTACTGTACAACAGCAACTGCTTTTGCCAGAGTGCAAGCCGCACAATCCAGGAAGATCAGCCCAGGCTGTCATCAAAACACGTTCCTGTAGAGGTGCACCGATACATCAGTCTATATCATATCGGCACCAATAAAAGGAAAATTGACATTATCGGCAATCAGCATTTTTGGCTGATGTGGCCAATAATGTTGCTGATAAATGCTGCCTGCATGCGCACAGCCGCAGCACACAAGCGGCCAGGAGTGTAACCCAGCAGCTTGGAGAGCAGTGTCCAGCTGGTAAGTCTGGGGCTCGGGAAGGGGTGTGGGGAGGGGCAGATAGAGGCCTCTGCGGTGAGGGAGGGAGTGGGGCTGGGGCAGGCGCTGGCCAGCTGGGACAGGGCACAGAACAGAGCCACGAATGAGCAGCTCATCCAGGGAGGGGAAGAAGGGGAGGGTGTCCCTCCGCTGTGCACACCTCCAGGGGAGGCATGGGGGGAATGTGCTCTCCGGTTCTGTGTGTGGAGTGAGGGTGGGCTGCCGCTGTGAACTGGGGCCAGGGACTGTGCCAGGGTCTTCCCAGCAAGGGGGCTGGGCCAGGGCTGCATTCAGGGCAGGTGGCAGCACTGGGAGGGGGGCTACAGGGTGGTCTACAGCCACCCCAAAATTCACCGTAGCCTCCCCTCACAGCATTGCTGCCCATCCTGAGCAGAGCCTAGCCCAACGCCACCCCACCCCACCCTCCGCTGGGAAGAGCCCAGCACAGCCTCTGGCTTCAGCCTGCAGTGGCAGCCTGCCCTTGCCCTCCACACAGATCTGTGAGCCACATGCTTTCCATGCCTCCTCTGGGGATGTGCACAGCAGTGGGAGCAGCCCCCTCCCCTCCAGCCCCACTCCCCTCCCTGGACGAGCCACTCACAGCTCTGTCCTACACCCCTCCCTGGCTGGGCAGCACCTGCCCCAGCCCTAGCCCCACTCCCTCCCTCACCATGGAGGCCTGGATCTGCCTCCCCTGTGACCCTTCCCACTCCCCACCCCACCTTCCCCTTAACACTCACCAGCTGGATGCTGCTTTCCAAGCTGCCAGACTGCATAGCGGCAACTGGATTGGTATCAGCCAATATGGCTCACTAATAATCAGCCATCGGTATTGGCCCAAAAAATCATTATCGGTGCACCGCTACTTTCCTGCACCCACATACTCAGATCTTCTTGATTTCATTCACTTTCAAAATGACATTGTCCTCATCTGTGTAGGCTTCAGAAAGCTGAACATTTTACTGCAAGCAATAGCCACATGAAGCAGTGCATGTATATTCTTCACTTACGTGTATGTGATGTGTAATACAGATTTCTTTGAAAATGCTAATGTCTACATGCCTAGTTAGTGACAAGCTAATGATTTTGAATACATAACCAGTGTTATCCTCTTTTGTACGTGGCATGTGATTTATATAGTTTTGGGCTGGGTTCTCCTTTCACTTACGTCTATTGAGAAGGAATTATTTTAATTTTATGGTAACCATCATTAAATTATAATGCTGTTGACTGTTTCATCATGAGATGAAATTTGATGCAGTTTGAGGAAAATTTGTTACCATTCCTTCCGCTCGCTCACTTTTCGCAGCTGTTGAATTTTGATTGAGTTCTCTCCTGTACGTTGTATTTGCACCTTTTTTCTGTAGGGATGAGTAAGAGTTCCAGTCTCTAAGAAAAACAAGTTATTTGTGATGTCTTGTGTACCCAACACTTTGTCCCATTGCTTCCTTTAGTGTCTGAGTTCATTTATGCTGATCCTGTGTACAGCCTGTGGTCTTGTTTCAGATTAGAGCTGCCTAGGCTGTCCCCTTTGACACTTGTCTCTTTTTTCAGGAGCAGACAGTCCAAGCTGTAGCAATGGAGTCATGTCCACCAAAAGCAAACAGAGCCACAGTAAATACCCAGCACTGAGTTCATCATCTTCCTCCTCATCATCATCCTCTCCTTCATCTGTGAACTACTCTGAGTCAAATTCAACAGATTCCACCAAATCCCAGCAGCACAGTAGTACGAGTAACCAAGAGACCAGGTATTCCTCTTTAAAATGCCTGAGGAGGATCAAATAATGGGAGTAGGCCAAGTCCTCTGTGTGCTTCTTCCATTGGCGGGGCTACTGGTAGCAGCTACAGGAATTAATGCTGAGCAGCAAATGGCTACTTCAGTTCCATACCCCTGCCAAAGCCAGGACTTTCTGCTGCCCATTTCCATACAGTGGGTTAAACACTGGGGATAGCGATAGATTTAGGTTTAAATGCTCCACAAGTACCTCTGCAGCTGATACTCTGCCACTCCAATGTTTTAACTGCCTGGGAAATTATTTAAAAGGGAGAAGCCAATCTAACTCAGCCTCTTTTGCTGCTCTCTCAGTCAAAGTAATTGCTATTGGACACCACATAATCACTTACCCTCCAGGAAGCTGTGTGTTCTCCCCTGTGAAATGAGCTGGATTTTGGATGCACTAGGAGTTTCTCCAGGGCCTCCTATTTTTGTGACTGAGTCATTTCCCTTTTACATGAGATTACAGTCCAGGGCTGGGTGTTCATTCTGTGGGTGAGTTAACAGCAGTTTATGTGCCCATGCCAACCAATAAGAAAGGCTTTGTGAGTTTTGGACATCCATTCACCATTGAGTCATAGGGAGTTTTAGGACACCGAGGGATTCTGAGCCTTGATGGTTGTGCCTCCTTTATATTATGGGATTTAAAATTCACTAATGAAGGGTGAGAGTCCAGTTCCCTCTGGGTGGCTATTGCAGAGTGTCTGGGGCAGTGCTGGAACAGAGGAGATCTTGATTAGAGGGGGCCTCAGTCACTGCGAGCTAACACTGATGCTCACTAGTAGTGTGCTAAATACAGTTGCCAGGAAAGCTTGCTACCAGCTCTGCTGTGACTGCTGTAGAATCAAACTGCATGTAACTATAAGCAGGGAACACCATGCAGAAGTCATACAAAACCGCTTCAGAAATGCTTGGCACTGCTAAATTCATGCCAAAGGGGATGGCTCTTAGTCTTAAGCTTCAGATCCAAAAGGCCTATTGTCTTTGAAACCTTGAGGTCAAACTGTAGCAAAATCATCTTACCATTTTAGCTTTCTGCGCTAGACAAATCCAGATCTTAGCAGTTTGCTGTATTGAAGTAAAAATAAAGAAATTAATAATATACCTGTCTGTTATGTCTGAATATTAAAAGCTTTGGGGTGAAGACCATTTTGTAGTACACAATTTTGTCTCGCTGTCCTTATCCAAAAATTCCCCTTTGTGCAGTGTGTTTTGCTGCTCACACCCCAAGGATAGCTGCTTTTTTTCAAGTGGTATCTTTGTAAATACTTTGCACCTTCTGTCTTGAAGGATCCCATCAGGTTGGGAACTTGCTTGATAGCTTGCAGTTCTCAGTGTTCTGAAACTTGGTTTTCTTGGACTTGGATCAATTGTCTCATCTTTTGTGGACTACTGGGTATGTAGCTCTGAACCCTAATTGCGCAGTCACTAGGTATACACTGTCTTGGGAATGTTTCCACTTTCTCACTGTTTTCTCTGGCCTTTCTTTCTCTTTTCCACTCTAGTGACAGTGAGATGGAGATGGAAGCTGAACATTACCCCAATGGAGTCCTTGAAAACTCATCCACCAGAATAATGAACGGCACCTACAAACATGAAGAGATCCTACAGACTGATGAGTCCAGCATGGGTAGGTTTCTGCTACCACATAAAAATTATGAACAGAAAAAGGAGCTAACATTTATAGTGCTTTTCCTTTTGTGGGGGAGGAGGCTTATTCTGTAATCTGTGCCTCAGCCTATGGTGTGAACGAGTGTTAGGATCCCTAGTATGGAGGGAGAAATTGATCCATCTGGGTATTTAGCATGAACCCAGGCCTTTTCTGGGGCCATCTGGAGCCAAGTGCCTGATGCTGTGCAGCTTATCCACTATTTTGGTGCACTGATTGGCTTTGGAGAAAGGTCTCTCTAGAGTGGACTCAAGTAGGTCTAATTTTTCAGTGCACCTCCTGTACAAACCACAAGTGAACTACAGGCAAAGCTGATTTCTGTTAAAAATGACCTTATACCATGTGGGTCCTGCTGCTTGAGGAACTGTAAGGGAGAAGAGGGCAGCAGAGTGGAGATACCAGGCTAAAGCTTTGTTCAAATCCAGCTCAGAACTGTCCTGACCATTACCACAATCTGATCAAATGAGTTGGGGTAATGAGGGTCTTTCTGTTTCATGGTTGTTGGTATACAGAACATGACAAGAACGCATTTGTTTTCCTTTTGGCAACCTCAGCCAAGGGGAGCAAGGAGTGAAAGGACATAAGGACAGTTGCACTCTGGACTGAGGGAATCCATCCAGATCAAGCCAGATCACATGGAGAGGCTCAGTTCTGGCACTGCCATGGCCCATGCAGTAACTGTTCTGCAAGTAAAAGGCTTCAGTGCTTGAGATTGTCCTTAGTATGTTTCTGACATGGAACGGGTGGTAAGACTGCAAATAACATTCCAAACTCCTGTGATTGAATCAGCAAACTTGCTTTTAGAAGTTTCCTGTTAAACCCTGTGTACACGGTCACTAAGTACAGGCAGCCTTTACTGTATTGTGTCTGTACCATACCATGCAAGCACCCCCTGCTGTCAGGCAGCTTAGCTTCCCAGATCAGAAGTCCACTCTGTGAGAGAGTCCTTCAAATAAGGAGCCAAATGAGGAGATCCTGCCCATTTTCTGTAGAGCGAGGGGCATCTGGTTGTCCCTTCCCTTGCTCAGAATTAGGAAGGTGGGGAATGGCTGGGTGCTGGGATTCCCCTGTTTGTAGTGGAGCAGGTGGCAATGGGGAATGCTGCCCAGCAGTTATTTCTCTGGCCCTTGTTTTAGAAGATGGCTGCCCGCAGAGGCAGCTCTGTGGAGGGAACCATGCTGCCACAGAGAGAATGATCCAGTTTGGGCGGGAGCTGCAGACCCTGAGTGAGCAGCTATGCAGAGAATATGGGAAGAACACGACGCACAAAAAGATGCTTCAGGTAAGGCTGGACCTCGTGTGTGCTCACAGCAGAATTAGCATCTAGCAGCAGAGCTGTGACTTCACATGCAGAGTCCAAGGAAGCTGAGGGGCAGAGGTCTGGACAGGGGACAATAGCGATGTGATCAGCAAATGAAATTCATTTAACCTTCCCTGTCTGTGCCTAGCGCTCATCAGAGAAAAGATGAGGGGTTGCAGTTCCTGCCTGCCCTCTCAGGGTAGCTACCTGCTCCAAGTGATGCTCTGCATTCCCTCCACTGTTGGCTGCCTGCCCAGGTGTGAGCAGTGTCCTTTCTTATCTAGATACCTACTACCTACTGATTTTTGCAGAGATGCCTTGATTGCCAGTTTACTAGCAGCCCTCCCCACTTTCCTGTCTATTTGCAGGCCTGCTCACCTTACTACTGGTGCCTCTGTTCTCTCCCCCAGGATGCTTTTAGCTTGTTAGCGTACTCTGACCCTTGGAACTGTCCTGTTGGTCAACAGTTGGATCCGATCCAGAGGGAACCTGTGTGTGCTGCACTCAATAGTGCTATATTGGGTAAGGCAGGGGCTAGATAACTGTGTGACATAGTACCATGTCTATCTTGCTTATAGGAATGGATCAGAGGGATTAAGGGTGGTGACCATGACAGCTTAGGGATGACCTAAGTAAGGGGTTAGGACAGGGGAAGGAGAAGGAGGGAGACCAGATACCTCAGCCTGCTGCCCTGCAAGTAGTCCTGGTGTTGTAGCACATGCAGGATTGCAGGTATCTACCAGGGACATCTTCCCAGTCTCTGATAGGGAAGGAGTGTTATGGTGTCACATCACTGGGATTCACATCCTCTGCAAAGTAGGTTACAGTGGGTTGTATCATGATATAAGAGTCTCCAGTCCATAGATGGCTGCAAGAAGGACTGGAAAGCAAGGAGGCAGAATTGTAATTGCTGTTGACTTTTCACTGACCATTGGGACCTCCAGCTGTTTAAATGAGAGCTCTAAGAACATTGCCTCTGCATTCTCCCACTTGTGAAGGTGGAGCCTCACAGAGCCTTATAAGCTTTCTGGAAAGCTGTGTGTTCAGGTGTACAGAATAAATGGAGCCAAAGTTATGAAAGGGCCATCTGGCCCCATCCACTGCTTATCTTTCCTTTTCATGCTTAGCTACATGGAGGGGATCTTGCTTGGTGTTTGGGTGCTGTAATAAGCATTTTCTGTAGCCAGTTTGCTTTCTTTTCACTAGCCTTTTTTGCCATTTATACAACTGTGCATTTCAGCCACTTGCCCTGTGCTTCAGCCCTGCGTTTGTGTGGTTTCTATCTGGTTCGTTTATGTCTCCAGACAGATGCCCACAGCTGCTTCTTTATTTTCCTTATACATGCTTGTTTCTTAGCCCAGCAGTGGTCCAGGACCCTAGTCTCTGTGTGTTCTCCAGCAAATGCAGGCATCTCCAGCCTTAGGACAGAGGCTTTTCACTCCAGAATCCCCTGAGGGAAGCCAGTCCAGAAAGAGCAAGTTTTGGACCACCCACAGTGTGTAGTTGCCACAGGGCAGAGACCTTTCAGAAGGCAACTGGCCAGTTCCAGAAACACATTAGTGCAGAAATCTTTGCTACTGAGCTTGCCACTAAGCAGCATAGGGCCCGTGTAGGAAGCAATAGCTTGGAACTAGCTCTTCTCTGATAGATCAGGACAGGACATGTATGGCACCAGGGAGGCTAAGAATTAGAGCAGTGATTTTCAACCTTTTTAAATTGAAATCACCCCTCAGAAAATGCCTGCTCTTAACTCTCACTCATTTTTTGAATACAGAAAAATAATAGAGGAATTCTTGTGTTGCAAAGAACTAAGAAAGACCACAAGAGGCCAGAGTGTTTATTACACCATGATTCCTATTTGAAATCTCTGGTTTATCTTGTAAAGCACTTGTGGGTGTTTGCATCCCTAATAGTGCTAATTTTACTCAGCACCCCTAGATAAATTCATGAATGATAGATCAGTTAATAGCTATTGAACAGAACAGTTGAATATATTTCCTCTGGCATCTCTTAACTTATAATGGTGGATGGCAGGGAGGGTATTGAATAGGTATTGGTATAGGTATAGGGAGGGTATTAAATAGGTCACTCTAGATTTGTCTGGTTCAGTGCTCTCTCTCTAGTCTATAGCACCCACTTCGGCCACTGTTGAAGACAGGTTACTGGTCCGACCCAGTATGGCACTTCTTTTGGTTTTATTCCCCACCCACCTTCCCGTTCTTCTCCCAGTTCTGCTTTCTTGGATACCCAGGATTCAGTGGTAGGCAAGAAGGCAGCACAGCCTTTTTCTTGCTTTGGCTCAACATTTGGCGCCACAATGGGGCACTCACATGGCCCTGAGCAGCGCCACTTTTCAGAGGCTCCTGAAGCTCTGTGGTGCCAGGAGGAGCATCTGGATGGGTGGGCATGTGTGGGTGTGTGAGCCTGTGCAGCGGCAAAACTGTTGCACAAGCAGCCTTCTGAGTGGTGAGTAATTTTTTTCTCAAGACAGCATGCTGCCCCTTGGCACTGTTTGCAGCCTGTAGGTGAGGGGCTGAGAGGTCGTGGGTGTAGCTCATAATAGGGGCAAGGCCCATGAATCACTGCTGTACATCCATTCTAAAGTGATATTTTCTTTCTTCCCCACAGAATCTCAGAACCTGCCAAAGCAGCCCCCCCTGATGCTTGCCCTGGGCCAGGCCTCAGAGTGCTTGCGGCTCATGGCTCGTGTGGGCTTGGGTTCCTGCTCCTTTGCCAGAGTGGACGACTATTTGCACTAGCCACCAGAGTGAGATGGAGTGATGTCCTCCAGTGCTGCCCTTCACCCTCCATTGCCGCCACCAACACCTCCTCCTCTTCCCTAGCCTGACCTCCCTGCTGCCCAGTGAAAGGACAAAATGCTGGTTGAGTTAGTCCCTCATCACCAGTGGTCCCTCAGCGCACAGCAGTTTCCAGCCCCAGAAGTGGCTGGCAGACCTCTCCCATCTCCCCTGTCACTGTGGCTGCAGCAGCACTCAGTATTTGCTGGTTAATCTAATGTAGCGCCTTCCGATTTAGGTTTTTATCTTTATTTTGTTTTCTGACTGAGCCACCAGTATTTATATCTGGAGAGTTTGTACTGAGCTGGTTTCTGCTAATTTAGTGATAAAGCTCATCCAAGTTGGTGACAGCTTGTTGTTTCCTTAAGAACCGTATCTCCATCTCTGTCCTTGCCCACCCACCACTGCACGCACACACACAATACTTATCCCATTCTGGTTACCTGAGCTCTTCCCCAAGAACAGTTTAGTGTTTTTATTTAAATCCCATTCATTAAAAAGGTCTCTTCCACCTTGGCAAAAAAGTTGTTCATGTATTTATTCTCCACAGACCAACACCACTTGTGCCCTTCCTACCCACCCCTTCCTGCAGTTATTTTTAGGCTCTCTCCTGCCAGGTACTCAAAATGGGAAGTGATTCTTTTTCCAAGAACTGCTTCATCACTTAAGCATGTTTGTCCTGGTATTGGGAAAAGCGAGAGGAAGGGATACCTCTACCTTGTTTTTGGCAGTTGCACTAAAAAGTCCAAACACCAGAAGGATACGGATCAAAGGCACAGGGCTTTGTGTTCAGTTACAAATCTCTTTTCTCTGCAAGATAGGCCCCCTTTCCATAATAAGGCTAGGGGATGAAATGCTGCCTTAGTTAGAACTGTCTGCCAGGAATCTTCATGGTCACACATGAAATAAATCCTCCACAGGGCCCTTCCTAAAGTGCAAAAGCCTGGTGGAAGCACTGTACTTGAGACAGCAGCTGTCCTGTTTCTGTTCCTGCAGCTTGCAAACGTCTTAATTTTATAGAATCAGGCTATGTACACCATCCTTTCAATAAGGCAGATTTTTATGTAAATAGGGGCCAAATCATTATATTACATTAAAGGCAGCAGGTATGTTTTCTGGAGGCTTACTAAGTGTTTTGAGTTTGGAAACAAAGCAAGCCCCAAATAGCTATGACTGCTTAAGCCCAAACAAGAATTGATGCTTCAGTTCAGTAATATGCTTCAATTCTGTGGAGGCAAAGATTTCTTAGAGTGATAACTTTTACTGGACTAACTGCATAGTCAAACTTTAAAATACAAGATGTTCTTCATAAGCTAGAGAACAGTCTGATGAAGAATGTCTTGAATTTGAAAGCTTGTCTAACTCTATCCCAGCTATGCAGTTGGTTCCACAAAAGATAACACCCTACAAAAGCCTTGCCTCACATAATTCCTGGACCATCACAATTACAATGCAGCTCTAACACTATCAGTATTGTGGGCTCACGAAAGTGCTGCCAGGCATTTTGGATTACAAGCACTCACTGGTTATAGTGTTCAGAGGAGCGTGTGTGGCTATGTGACTAATGATACATGACAGGGCTTTATGCATTTCATGTTACAGCCACATGCCATTGTTCACACATAAGATGATACAATATGATTGCAGGTACAAAACAGTACACCTGATCTGACTGAATCCCAGTAGAGCTTTGGTTATAAGATTGGAGTTGTTGCAGAAGTGCCAATGCTGCATGTACCTCTGTTTCTTTAAAAAAAAAAAAAAAAAATGTAAATCACTTTTTTAGAAAGAGTAATGAAAAATTTAAAGTGTGTGCATTACAATTCATTTGCACATACTTGGTGTAAGGTGTAGGGACCTGATGCTTACAATTCCAGTTGGCCCATCCTTTCAGCTCAAATAGCAAGGGAGTGTATATACAACATGGAGGAAGGACTGGCTAGTATCTGTTAGCGCCTGTCTCTCTACATGTCAAGTGTTAGCTATATTGGTTTGGAGGGAACTTTCTCACTGAGTTAAGCACCATGAGCAGAGGACTGAAGCTGTAACAGGTGACTCTAGGGCAGGGGCAGGCAATTATTTCGGGCAGAGGGCCACTTACTGAGTTTCGGCAAGCCATTTCCGGCCTCACGACAGGCAGCCCAGGGCAGATTAATATTAATTTTCTGTATTTTTTAGGGGCCCCAAAGGCCAGATAGAATGGCCTGGTGGGCTGCATCCAGCCCACCCCTGCTCTAGGGCACCCCTCTGCTGTAGCCCAGCCCGCACAGTCACAGCTGCATTTGCAGACTTATCTGCCTGGTGTTGCACACATGCCATGCTGAAATGCTATGCCTATTCCACACACTAGTCCTAAACAAAAAATAGTGTGCTTGCGTAAGTGAGGTGCTGTGTGCAAGCCAATAGGCTCTGCCTCTCAAGTAAAGCTTATTGGCATGCGCACGGTACTGCATTGACCTGGCTACACTTCTAGCATAGGAGCTTAGCAGCAGTTCATGTCTTAGCGTTGTGCTACTTTGCACTGCTTAGATGTACCCAAGGAGTCCCTAGCAGCCCATGCTTGAGGCCAGGCAAGGGACGGGTAGGGGGCCTTCCTGCACGGCAGAACATTCCTGTCCATGGTTGTGGTGGAAGACAGAAGGCAAGCCTCTTCAGACAGCTGTTTGGTGGAGGCAGGGCAAGATATAAAGATCCCCTGCTAAGAGGCAGCTGCCATGATTGTGTGATGTGAAACTGTAGCCTGTATGTAGATGGTGATTGCCACCTATTGGTGAAAGTGCAGAATTGAAAGTGTTCCTTGAGTAGGCAAAGGGACTAACTCTGGAGGAATCCTCCCCTCTGGCGACTTTTCACCCATCTACTCCTGCCTGCACCATCCAGTAGAAGCACCTCCCTGGATTTGCTGCATTAGAATCTGCTAAAAGCAGGGTAATGTGATCTTGCATTCATAGTTGCTGTTCATTGTGAACCATCTGGTTTTCAGCCCTCATCAGGCTGGGCTTTGCTAATTTGGGGTTGGTGGCCTGGGTCTATACTTAATACCTAACTGTATCCCTCAACCTTGAGTATTCTCCCAAGTGCTTGTCATCTCTTGTGTTTTCTTGGTTGCATGAAACTATCCTAGCTTCAGCCTACTTAATACCACTACTTCCTCCTTCTTTACAGAATTTTCTTTGGGGTTGTACTTTTTGCTTGTACATACAGTGGTAGTTCTTGCATCCTTTTAAGCAGAGCTGTTTCTTTCATACAGGGTATTAATGTGCCCATTGGTCCCTGTATTGGCCTTGCAGTATGGATCACTTTCTTTCTTAGCAAACATGTCTGAAAACTGCTTGCTTCATAACTCTACTAAGTTTTCTAGAGCACAGGTAGGTGGTTTCTTGCTGGCGCCAGCCAGAGCTTGCAACCTGGGCATCCCTGAAGGTTGCAAGTCTCTGCCTCTTTGAATAACTAGCTGCTGGATTCCCAATCCATCTGCAGCAAAGGTAAGTTCAGGTGGTGCAGAAGGGATGGGCATGGCACAGCTCTGTGATGCCATCCCCCCGTCAGACCTCTTCATGGGCCAGATCTGGCTGCGGCCTGTAGGCTGCTGGTCCCTGTTCTAGAGCAGTTGGTTTATCTCAGTTTCCCCTTTGTTATAATAAAGCATCTATGAAATGTTCTTGAGTCAAAGCATCAGGAAGTCCCTTCAAGACATCTGGCATTGTCCTGTTAACGGCTATTTCTCTATCTTCACCCAGTTCTCACAGGGAGTGTTCATGGTATGGAGCTTACCTTGGTGCTCAGTTCTGTTCTGGTTAGTGAACACTGCTGCTTCTCTGATCTATTGTTTATTCTGTTTAACTTAAACTCGTCCAAAGAGTGCCAGCTTGATTTTTTTTTTTTTTTTTCCTCCTGAGCTGACCCAGCTTTGAATTGACCATGTAACCAGAGTGACTACAGGCATTTCTTTCAAGTTCTTGCGACTAGAATCTTGCTTCTGGCTCCTTGGGTTAAAGGAATATACTACCTTTTCTGCTGTGACAACAGTTTTCCTAACCACTTGAGTTCTTCAGTTCTGTTCTTCAGTTTCTGGTTGCTTCTGTGCCTTTCCTAGCTCTTTTGGTTTGTGATGAGTTCTTGATAGAGGTCATTGGTCATTGGTTCTTCCCATTTCTTGGATATTGAATCATCATAATTTGCAGGAAAGGCTGTATTTTTTGCAGTGGGTTTTTTTTGTTCTCGTTATTTCCTGTGAGATCTTTCACAAAGTGTGGGGCTATCAGGGCTGCTTCTGTAACCCTTATGCTTTTGGGGAACCCATTACTAATACCAGATAGGAGGCAAGTGGTTGGACACTCATCAGGAGCCTGTTTTGGAGACATCTCAAAGACTGCAATCTGCAAAGTTTTAATGATTGGTAGCCCCATAAGAGGATAGGAATTACCAGATCAACCTAGTATCCTGCCTTTGTAAGTGTCCATGAGCTGGTAATTCAAAGAAAGGCAAAAAAAGGCACACGGTATATTTGCCTGGTTGTGAAAACCCTCCCTGACTTGCACCACCTAGTTGTAACCTAAAGCACGAGACAGATTTCCTTGTGACATATGGAAGAAGAGATGTCCAGTGAAGCTAATGGTGAGACTCATGTCTAAAGGTACCAAGGAAAATAGAAACTGAACTCCAGTTTGCATCCTCTTCTCCTTTGTGTCCTGAGCCCCAGTTGTTCAGGCCTTCAGGAGTCTTAGACTTCTTTACCGATACTCACATTCTGTCTGGAGCTTGCTTGAGTCTCCTGTTCCTTTTTTCTAATTATTTACCTTACAGATAACAGAAAATAAAAATATAATGTTTCATTTGCACATGTGAACCAACAGTCTAGTCAAATTACCATTCTCAGTTATCTTATTTCGTTGTAACTATTGGCAGGCTAGCAAAGAGCAGGAAAACTGCTTTCGTTCTCCATTTTGCCCAGTAGCCATTTGTTTTATCCCATCTGCCAAGCTTCAGCTGCAATATGGTGCCTACAGCCATCTACAATATGGAGATCACTGGCACAGCAGGGTGTTCCTGAGAGTGCAAGCCAACCCTTATTGTTTTCTCAGCATGTTTTAGAGTCCCATCCCTTTTTTCTACTGCAGTCATAGCAAACATCACACTACACTAGTCCGTAATTTAACTACACATGAAGACCATATTTTCTATATTATTTCCTCACTGGGCCTTGATGACCTTCTATGGGTCATAAACGCCACGCAATTGGCACGTTATGAGGTTATAAGTAGTCTGACATTTAAAAGCACAAGTATTATTTATTTTATTTAGATGTCTATTGTGATTGTGTAGATAACATGTTAGCCATTCTCTCTCCCAGTCACTTACCCCACCCTTTGCTAGAGCACTGTAGGTCTTCATCATGAACACTTTCAAATGTACCTTAGATTATTATAAGAGCACCAAAGCTCTGTATAATCTACTGGATCCATCTCTAATTTTCGAGATATAACAACCATTATTGTGCATTAAAAATTCACAGCTAGCTTTGTCCTGCTGCCACCTCTGTATGCTGTAAATTGTATTTGAAGTGTCCCATGATGGGCAAACAAGTTGCGAATATTCAGTGTAAGCATTGCTGCTGTCCTGCGAGCAGCTGAAATGAAACACATACTCAAGC